TATTATTTTCTTCATTTTCACTTTCATTATCTTCATTATTTTGTTCATATACCCTTTCCTTCTACCTATTTTGTCTCCTATCCTCTTCTTCTTGTCTATCTAACCTCTCCTCATCATAAAAACGTCGAAAACACTGATCCTGTCCGTCCTCTTCTTCCTCTTGTTGATTTTGGCCTTCACCCTCTAGATCTAACACATTCTGCATATTCCGACTTCCCTCTCCTTTTTCAAGAATATTTTGTCCCCTCTTCTCTTCACTCTTCTCTCTCTCACCGAGTAAACGACGGCTACAACTCTCCTTGTGAAAATGTCGATTTCGTCCATCTCCTTCATGCTGATTTCATCATTCTTCTCCTTCTTCTTGCCTATTTCAATCTTCTCTCCCCTCTTTTAATATATTTTGACTTCACTCCCTTTCCTCTAACACTTTTTCTAATATATTTTGCACTGGTCGAAAATTGATAAAACATACACATATTGGATACCCGATATGTACATGTTTTATTAATTTTTGACCAGTGTTGGTCCACTCCTCCTTTTTCTTTTATATTTCATCCCCCTCCTCGCGAAATCGCCAATTTCATCCCCCTTCTTACAAAAATGTCAAAATTGCCTATTGCACCATTTCTCCTTGCAAAAATATCAATTTTTCCCTCCTCCCCAAATTTCGTACCTTTAATTCCCTTTCACTTCCCCCTCTTCTTTTAATATTGTTTCTCCCTCCTCTTCCATTTCATTTATTTGTTTTTTGTAACTTTGATTGGATTGTAGAGATTCGATTTCACTATTTTCACTGTTATTAAAGGAAAGTTTTTTCAATAAAAACGAAAGGTTTATCAGAAAAATTACTTTCAGCTTCATGTTCTTTCTGAGTATCACTTAAATGTAGTGAACTTTCTCCTTCTTCAATCATTTTTTTAATTAAAAAAAAAAAGGGAACGTGAAAAAATTAAGGTAGATTTAAATAAATTCATGAAATGGAAGATTTATTTTTTTTTTATTTTAAAGATGAATTGAAAGAATAATCCACGGATTGAAAGAATAATCTGTGGATTGAAAGAGTAATCCGCAAATTGAAAAAATAATTCGAATTAATCCTTCAATCCGTGAAGTAATCTTTCAATCCGCGGATTTAACATATAATCCGAATTATTCGGATTATTTTTTTTTTAATCCGGATCTTTTAAACTTTTAAAAAGTGATCTATCAATCTGAGTTACCACAGATAATTCGTCGAATTGGCAGATTGGTCATCCACAGATCGCATCTCTAATCAAAATCACTTTATTGGATGTAAATAATTATAATTTATTATCTATGGGAAAAAAATAATTCACGGATTGAACGGATGATCTGCGGATAGATGGATGATCTGTGGATTGAACACATGATCCACGGATTGAACGGATGATCTGCATAATCCGTGGGTCAATTCGTCCAATTCACTGATAATCCATGGATTGATCAAATTGACTATATAACGGATGACGAATTGAAAATTTGATGGTAACATAAATTACGGATCACGCGAATCGATCCAGATCATACCTCTATCTTAGACTTCCATATTTTATTACACTTTTGTATACCAATTCTATACCACTCCAAAACTTTTTTAGATTCACTTTTTAATTCCCTGGCATACATTATGCAATCGATATCCTCTTTAGCTAAATGGGATGGTGGTGCTCTTGATTTGATAGAATTTTCTGACTGTTGTGTATCGAGATCTTTACTGGTTCTTTTTGGTGTCATCTTAGAATGAAATTATATCTGGCGAGAAAAAAAAAATACGTAATTTATTCTTAATTATGTGTACTCAACACGTCTTAGCTTTACCTGAAATTCTTAAAAATATCTTTAGCTATATCCCTCATGAAGAACATTTATTTCAACTTTTTATGATTAATTATACCTGGTGTTCAGAAGGAGTTTGATCTCTTCTGAAGTAGTATAGAAATATGTTTTATTAATATAATAATAATTTTAATCTTATTCTATTAATAAATCAATTTGAAGGTCTTGAGTATCACAATATATATAAACCTGTTCATAAAAAATATATTGGCCTACTGAAGGTAAATATAATTATACACATGACTTGAATAAAGAAGATAAACTTAAAAATATTTCCTCTAAAATCAAAGACATTATTGAATATCTTAAGATGATAAAGGATTATATACCATCTATATTATATGTCGAGTTTCGCAAAGATATCGTTAACCTTACAAATAATTATCAATCTTTAGAAGATAAAATTCAGGATATACTAGATTATCTGTATGAACCATCTTTTTATGACGAATAAAAAAGCAAATATTAAAGTTAACTTGTTTTTCTTACATTATTATTGTTTCTGCTAATCGTTTTTTAAATTCTCTAAATTCTAGATTATATACTATTTGTTTCTCATGTATAAATTATTTTTAACACAGAATATAAAGTTTTCCCATTGGTCTTTATTTTTAATATCATAATCAGGTATTAATAAATAGCATCTCAAATATTTTTCTGGATAAAGTTTTGATAGTTTTAATTAGTCTTCTGATGTTTTTACCTGATTAATAAAATTTAGACCACATTCCATTAACATATCTCGTGTTGTTATTTTGATTATTGCTTCGCAACCACAGGTTATACAAAAATATATTTATATCTCAATAAATAATTACAGATTGAATTTTTATTTACTTTATATATTTACTCAATTATTACTTAACATATTGACTTCTAGTAATAACAAAATTAATAAACAAATCAATGAATATAAAGAAAAGCTAGTTACAAAAGGAATGTATGGCGATAATTTTGAAATTTTATCTCTTGGTGAATTTATTGCTAAACAAATTTTACTTCATGAACAGGATGTAAGTTATGTCCATAATAATAAAATAGAACATGTACCATATGAGAAGTTTCTTAAGTTAATTAAGCTAATAGAATTATTTTATATCCTGTATAAAAAAAATTTCGAAACATATGGTCTATTCGATATTGATATC